TGGAAGGTTTTGTCCGAGGGAATGGACAATAGCCCAAAATTATGTCAGAAATTTGTGGCTCAAGCTACCAAAAGGTTAGAGATCAATTTCAGCAAGTTTATATTATTCATTATATGGATGATATTTTGCTTGCACACCTTTGGACAGCTTCAGCACTGCCTTACCCCTGCAGGGTTAATTATTGCTCCAGAGAAAGTGCAAAGACAGCCACATTTTCAGTATCTAGGATATATATTATACCCTAAGGAACTAAAGCCTCAAAAATTGGAAATAAGAAAGATGGGTGAAAAACTTTGAATTATTTTCAAGAGTTATTAGGGGGCATTCAATGGTTGTGACCTTATTTAAAATTACTTGCTGGTGATTTGGAAACTTTAAGTGATATTTTAAAAGGAGATAGTGATCCTAATTTGCCCAGTTAACTGAAAAAGGTAGACAGGTTCTTTTACAGATTGAGAGTGCTATTCAAAATCAGCAAGTATGTTATATTAATTATGATCTACCTTGACACACATATATTTAGCCCATTAGACACACCTCTACAGCAGTATTGTGGCAAAATGGTCTTCTTTTTGGTTACATCTTCCTGTTTCACCAGCTAAGGCATTAAATCCATATTATGAATCTGTAGCTTATTTGGTAGAAAAAGGCAGGATTGAAGTTAGACGTTACTTCAGTAAAGAACCGAGTGTGATCAGTGTCCCTTTTATAAAACAGCAAATTGATTGGCTTTTTCAAAATAATGATTCTTGAGCAATTGCCTTTTCTCAGTTTTTAGACCAAATTGATAATCAGTTTCCAGCTGATCAATTGTTACAATTTGCCCAAATGCATTCATTTGTATTTCTTAAGATTGTGATGAAAGATCTTGTAAGAGATGCTATGCTAATTTTTACTGACGGTTCCTCCAATGGGAGGGCTGCTTATGTTATCAATGGTAAAAGCTACATAGTATAAACAACAGTACAGATAGTAGAATTGAAAGCAGTGACTATGATTTTTCAGTTTCTTGTAGATAGCTAATTTAATTTATATACAGATAGTCAATATATTTATAGGGCTCTTCAAGTTATAGAAACTGTTGCATGCATTGACACTAATAACAGGTTAGCACACTGTTTCAACAAATTCAAGATGCTATTCACCAAAGAAAGCTACCATGCATTGCTAAGAGATCACTTTTAGATGTTTGTTAAAGTTTGTAAAGTGTAAATAGTCCTATTGAGAGTTTGATTTTGGATGGAAGTTTGTGTGTGTTTCTGGCATCCTTGTTATGTATGAGATGGCTGTAATTGTATGCTCTTGTGTTTGAGTTTTCTGTTTAAGGAGAAATAAAAAATCTTTAAAGTGATCAGCATCCTTAGAAATTAGGAAAATGCAAATTAAAATTACTTTGAGAATTTGTCTTACCCCAGTATGAATGGCTAAGATCAAGAAAACAACTGATCAAATACTGGCATAATGGGTCTTCAAACTGGTCCAGCCACTCTGGAAATCAGTGTGGAGAATTCCCAAAAAGCTAAAAGTAGATCTACCATATGACTTCCTAAACCACTCCTTGGCATATGCCAAAGGACTTGACATCCTATTCCACAGATTCCTGCTCAGCCATCTTCACTGCTGATCTAGTCGCAACAGGTAGGAAATGGAAACAACCTAAATGCCCTTCAATTGAGAAATGGATGATGAAAATGTGGTAGGAATACACAATGAAATCCTGCCACACTGTAAAGGAAAAGGAAATCATGAAATGTACAGGTAACTGGATGGAACTAGAAGATAGTATACTGAGTGAGGTAACCCAGATCCAGGGAGACAAGCACCATATTCTCTTTCTTATTTGTGGATCCTAGTTATGAATCTTTAGATGTGAATATATGACTTAGAGTAACTGCAGAAACCAGGGAAGCAGAATGGGACCGTGGGGAAGACAGGAAGAGTGCCATCGAGGAGGACACTAGGACACGGGTGTGATGAAGGGGAAATGTGAGGCGTTATCCCAGGGTGGAGAAGAGCAGGCAGGACAGAGAGAGGAAGAGGGAGAGAGGATGCTAAGGATGATGTAAGAAGCCACAGGGAAACATACTGACTTATTTTTACTTAGAAATATACATATCACATATAAAAGTGTATGTTATACAAATAATTTAAAGGAAGTTACACCATTTGGGTGATAATGCTCCTCCCACCAAGAGCCATAGACTAGCTAACAAAACCTCAGTACTGGGCACAGGAAACCTTCTAAGTTGTTGGTTAGGGAGTTCAATAGACCCCTTCCCCCAAACAATACAGACTGTTGCCACTGCACTGTAATTCCAGCACTTGGGTGGGAGAGGCAGAAGGATCATTGTAATTTCAAAGCCAGCTTGGTCTACATAGCAAAATCCAGGGCAGCCAGGGATACGTGGTGATGTATATGCTTAAACAAAGACAAAAATATAATACATTATTATATAAAACAAAAAATAATATATTTGGGCATCACAGTGTGAACTTCTTCATGATCAACCTGACTGGATTAAGAATCACCTAGGAGACACACCTTTGGACATGCCTGCAAGAGTGTGTCCAAAGAGGATTAATTGAGGAGGAAGATCTGTTGTGGAATATTATTCTAAGATGTGTTACTTTTGTTTATGTTGCATTTGTTTAGCTCTGTGAAGCTGTGTCACTGTGCCTGTCTAAAACACCTGATGGTCTAATAAAGAACTGGCCAGTAGCAAGGCAGGAGAAGGACAGGAGGGGCTGGCATGCAGAGAGACTAAATAGAGGGAGAAATTCGGGAGAAAGAGATCTAGTAGCCAGAGAAGGAGAACTCTAGGGGCCACCCACCCAGCTACACAGTAAGCCACAGAGCAAGAGTAAGATTTACAGAAGTAAGGGAATGGGAAAAGCCCACAGGCCAAAAAAAAAAAAAGTAGATGGGATAAGTCAAGAAAAGCTGTCTAGAAACTAAGCCAAGCTAACGCTGGGCATTCACAAGTAATAATATGCCTCTATATGTGAATTTATTTGGGGGCTAGGTGGTGGGCCCCCCCCAAAAAGAGTGAAAAACAAACAACAACCATTTGGTACCCAACATGGGTTGTATTTCCACATAGGGCTTAGGAAAGCTAAACAATGAAAAAGGGATACGGCTCCTTCAGGAGTTTCAGCCAGACAATTTCTGCCAGTCAGTGAGCCCTTGAGCAGCTAGTATGCTAAATAGGAACAAAACAAACAAACAAACAAACAAAAACCTAAGTAAAATGCCTGCCACAAAGCAAGCATCGACATTCTAGAGCCCTAGAAAAGTTGAATGCAGTTCCTGGTCAGACAAACCTCCAACCAGCCTCCAGTTTCATATTTGGCTTTCAAGACCCGAGAAGCAGATGGAGCGGGCTGAGAGCTGCATGTGGAGAATTCAGGTGTAGGTAAACAGTTTAAAGTTTGTTCATGAGGGCAAAAAAGACTAGAGACACACAACAAGAGTGGTCCAGATGAAAAAAACCTCTAAATGGGCTGGAGAGATGGCTCAGAGGTTAAGACCACTGACTCTTCTTCCAGAGGTCCTGAGTTCAATTCCCAGCAACCACATGGTGGCTCACAACCACCTGTAATGAGATCTGGTGCCCTCTTCTGGCCTGCAGACATACACACTGTATACATAATAACTAAATCTTTAAAAAAAAAAAAAAAAAACCTCTAAGTAGGTTACAATATGTTTAACAATATGCATAGACTTAAGAAAAGGATAAGGATATAGTCATAAAAAATGAATAGTTTACAAAATAAAATCTTTAAAGAGACAATAAAAGAAAAAAGCCATGTAAGATGGGAAATACACAGGTAGTCTGGATCCTATATGGGCTGATTTTGAATTTTTTGACTCGAGAAGCAAAAGACAACCAGTAGGACATGTGAGATTGTGAACTGGACTGCTAAACTGAACCAATCTAGATATTTTAAAAATGTCTTAACTTTAAAAAAGAAGTAAAAAAAAATTGTCAAATGGAAATAAAAAATGCTTTGGAGTTTTGTTCCTACAAGAGATGAGAAGTTATGTATTCCTTTAGGGTTAATACAGATCAGGTTGGATCAGGTGAGACCTCCTGAAACTTGACAGGTGATATCTATCAGCAAAGGTTGGTAGATCCTGCTGGTCTTACCAGGACTTGGTCATTATCTCAAAATTTTCTCGCTGGGACCCTAAAGATACTTCGGTCCATAGACAGCAGGAAGAAGTATGCAGAAAACTACACCCACATTCTCACGAGTTGGGGGTTATGGGTTGTTTTTGGTTATTTGATGGGCTAGGGGTGTTTGTTATCATTTAGGGGAATATAGTATATTGATACAAATTTAAGGTAATTTTTATTATACTGTATATATGTTTCTACTCTTGTTTAAAGGATTTTTGTATATTGGTTAAAAATTTATTTTTGTTACAACATATTATATATATGTTTCTATTTTTGTTTGAAGTATTATGCTTATGAAGTTCATTTGAAAATGTAGCATGCATGAAGTTCTAGTTTTTGAAAGCTATTATTATAAACTATATAGGATAATCAAGAAACATAGGTCAATAATTAGTCATTTAGATATGTTAGATAAGTTTTCTAGGTTAAATAGATTATTTTGATAATGGTCTTCAAATACTTCAAAGATCTATAGAATATGGCATTTAAAATGTTTTATTAACTTAAAGTTTTTCATGACAATGAGACACATCTGCTCCTGGCAGCACCAATTTACTTTAGAGAAGATGATGGGCATTGAAGATACTCCTTTTGGAGTTTGCTTTCATTGTAGCAAGGTTAGCCACTGGGCAAAGAAACTGCTCTTGCCTTTGACTGCTGACAATGTGTAACACAGACTGAACATGCAGGATACAGCAAAAATGACTGTTGAACTTTACCAAAACAAGACAGGACAGTCCTTCAGAATAAACTAACCAGTTTATTTCAAAGATGTGTTGACCTCAGAATGGAAACCAGGATATGTCTTACATTGGGAAAGGGGTTTTGCTTTTGTTTCTGCAGGAGAAGAAAAGCTATGGATACCAACAAAATTAATAAAAATTTGATATGAACAGGAGAAACCCCTTGATGAGAAGAAGAAAAAGCTCATCCACTGATGTGACATCTCTATAAGTTGTAAGAAAAATTTAACAAACAAGGGTTGGGGCAGGGTTGTTTTCTATCTTTACAGAATAATAGAAATACCCATCTTCTAGCAGTCATAAGGCATTGGATACCTAGACATACGACGGAAGGAAAAGCACCTATTGATACCAATATACTCCACAGGGTAATTTCTCAGTGCCTAACATCTATATCTCTTTAACTCTAGAATAGTTGTGGTCCTGATTCTATTATAAATCAAGCTGGCTTTGGAGTTGGAATGTGGCTCTCTCCATCTCTAAAACCAAGCATGTTGATAAAAGAAAAAGGTTAAGAGATTCTGTCTCCTATCAGAAGAACCACCTGGTGTGGGGCAGAAGAAAACTAATAATTTAGGGACCATTGTCATCCAGACTCTATTTCTTTCTATGCTTTTCCTCACCTTTGAAGAATTCCTTATCTATCCAATATAAATCCAAAACTTTCCATCTTGATATTGAAAATGTCCAAGTTTTTCCACAGCAAAAAATAAGTCTTTTCCAATAGCAATCTCTGAAGTCTCCAGAAGGAAGATGGGGCCCCCTAACAATGAATCTGTCCAGTCCAGAATGATGCCATGGTATTCATGAACAACTCACTGATCAACCTTGGACTGAAAACTCTCCAAGATAGTCCCACAATAAGATGGTCCATCATACTACACTTCTAGCCAGAATCTCAGACAACCTTACCCATTACTCTGAGATTGGCTGAAGAATCTACAGTTAGTCCAACTGAGACCTAACTATCTGAGCTTTCTTACAGGACTCCACAGAGATACCATCACCCCCTGAACATCAGGAAGCAATTCTAAAAAAATGATGCCCCCTTTTCCCAAAGGTTTCATGTTTCTCAGGGTTATGGATAATGGTTATAGAGTTGGGGGTGGAAGAAAATATTGGACTCAGTATTCTCCTTAAGAAAAGAAAAAGGGGAATGGATAGGTATAGGATATTAAGGTAGATTATTATATACACTAATAAACTAATAAAATATCAGATTTAGATAAATTGCACTGTTATGGATTCTTGTAGATTGATACAAATATAAACTATTTTTATATTCTTATTTAAGATAATTTGTATATTTATACAAATACAGAACTGTATTTGTTGTAACAAACACATTTCTACTCTTATTTGAATTGTTTGTACATTGATACAAATGTAAAATTATATTTGTCATACTGTATGTATATTCTGCCTCTGTTTAGGATATTTTGTATATTGATACATATTTAGGATTATTGTCATATTGCACATTGCACTATACATTCCTACCTTTAGCTATTTTGTGTATTGTCACAATTTTAAGGTCATTGTCCTTCTACTGTACTTTTGCTTACAGACTGTTTACCTTATTTACATAAAGCCTTAGTCCTTAGGTTATTTAGGTAGATAAGACTTACAGATTTATAGTCACCTATGCTTGTCATCTCTATAGTTATGTTAGGTTGTCCAGATTTACAGATGGACAGGTAATCTTCAAATACTTTATAGACCTAGAGAATATGGCATTTAAATAACTTTGAATTCTGTTGACATGAGACATGATTGCTTCTGGCAGCACTGATTTGATCCGGAGAGAATGTTGGGCTTCTAAGACATTTCTGTTTGCAAGTTTGTCTTCTTGGCAAAAAAATTGGCTTGCTGGGCAAAGAACTGCCCTTGCCTCTACTGTTGACAGTATGAATACTGTCCCTTTGGAATGAGCAAGATACAAGAATAAGCGACTACTGAACTCTGCCAAGACTGGGTAAGATAGTTTTTCAAAATACCTGCTTCTGAAAATGATCTGCAGATACTCTAGTCCTGCAGCCAATTTGAATACACCAACAATGCTGAGAAACTTTAGGTGACTGTCCAGGCTGCCAGCTGTCTCTGTCTACTCTCAAAAGACTCCTGAAAGTTGCTTGTGTCCTTTCTCAGGAACTTCTCCCATTTCTCAGGTATTATTATATTCCTTCTCAGGTCTTTGATGGGATTGAAGACTAACAATTACAATTACAATCTTCTCATATCTTAGGTAGATCATATTAAATATTAGATTCAGGTTCTTCAGGATAGGACATCTTTTGGAATGATCTCTGTAACATGCCATTTACCTATGCTCTAGACTTCTCTGGATGTTAGTATGTGTCTCCTGTTTGATATTGCTCTTATTGGTTGTAGATCTGTTTGTTTATGTCATTACCCTTTATTTCTCCTTGATAATTATTCCTATTGCATATAGTTTTGTGTTAGGTTAGAACTTTCTTCCTTAGACAAAAGGGGGAGATGTAGGGGTGGGTGTCTGTGCTTCACCCTTGAAGCATCACCCCTAGTAGGCAGTAGGTAACTGCTAGGTACCTGTCCTTACCTGGGGAGTGGCTGAGACAGAGACCCCTTAAGAACTGAAATACATACGTGCTCGCTTTCTTGGCTACCTCATGATCCTGGATGCTGGATGTTGGGCTGCAGACCAAGTCAGAGTTCTCCAGAGAACCAAATTGGACTGTGCCCCACCTCTCCTGGATCCTGTAACCAACTTGTTTGCTTATTGTAACTTAACTCAAAATAACCCCCTTTTGACTTTCAGATAAACTACATGGAATTGCCACTATATTCCTGTTTCACAGAAGAAACTGCCAGACATTCTGCAGGACACAGAGGAAAGCAACTGATGAGCATTGCCACAATAAGGCAGTACAGTCCAAAATTCTTTCTTCATAAAAAAGTCTGCTAGATAACCTAGGCCTGTAGTCTAAAGATGGATGCCCCAATGTTACAGAGGAACTTTGGATGATTGTCCAGGCAGCCAGATTTCTTTGTTGTTAGATAATATTACATCCTTCTGGGTCTTTGATGGAGTTGAAGACTAAATAATTATAATTGCAATTTTCTTAGTTATGATAGATAATAAATTAGATATAAAACTTTAGATTCACTAAGATAGAATAGATAATGCATTATTTTCTCTAAATATGCTAACTATAAGTGGGCAGAATATTATGAATGTAATCCTTACCTGATAATTGTTATTGTATATAATCTTACTATGTTTAAATTAAAACCCTTCTATTTTTTTATTTAGACAAAAAGAGGGAAATGTTGTGGCATATTTTTTAAGGTGTGTTACTTTTGTTTATGTTGCATTTGTTTAACTCTGTGAAGCTATATTACTGTACCTGTCTAAAATACTTGATGGTCTAATAAAGAACTGGCCAGTAGCGAGGTAGGAGAGAGGATAGGTGGGACTGGCAGACAGAGAAAATATATAGAGGGAGAAATTTGGGAGAAAGAGATTTAGTAGCCAGAGAAGAAGGACTCCAGGAGCCACCCACCCAGCCATGCAGCAAGCCACAGAGTAAGAGTAAGATTTACAGAAGTAAGAGAATGGGAAAAGCCCACAGGCAAAAAAAATAAAAATAAAAAAATAAAAAATAAAAAAATAAAAAAGTTAGATGGGATAAGTCAAGAAAAGCTGTCTAGAAACTAAGCCAAGCTAAGTAATAATAAGCCTCTGTGTGTGGATTTATTTGGAAGCTGAGTGGTGGGCCCCCCCCAGAAAAGATTGAAAAGTGAACAACAAGACCCGTCCTGAACGTGCATGGATGTGAGTGAATGTGAGTGAATGTGCGTGGCCCGATCCTGTGGGCTGAGACCTTTGAATAGAATGGGAAAGTGAGCTGAGGGCCAGCGTTCATCGCTCTCTGCTGCCTTCTGTGCACACAATGTGACCAGTGCTTCACTCTCCTGGTGGCACAAGCAGAGCTGCTCTCACTGCCGTAATTTCCCGTTGTGGTGGACTAGACTGTGAGCCCAAGTGAACTCTCTCTCCCGTAAGTAGAATTTTTCACAGAAATGAGAAAAGAAATTAACACGTTTTTACAGAGAGTGAAAAAGATCCCAGAAGGACTATTGCTGACTGTCCAAGTGCCGGCTGGTATTAGAATTCAATAGTTGGCAGTAATTGTGTGAGTGTGTGTGTGAGTGTGTGTGTGTGTGTGTGTGTGTGTGTGTGTGTGTGTAGTGTGTGTATGTGGTGTGTGTGTGTGTAGTGTGTGTGTGTGTATGTGGTATGTGTGTATGTTTGTGTGTGTGGTGTGTGTGTGTGGTGTGTGTGTGTAGTGTGTGTTTGTGTGTGTGTAGTGTGTGTGTATATGTGTATGTGGCGTGTGTGTATGTTTGTGTGTGTGGTGTGTGTGTGTAGTGTGTGTGTGTGTGTGTGTGTGTGTGTGTGTGTGTGTGTATGTGTGTTTCTAGGTCAAATGGAGCATAGGAAAGAGTCCATCATTTGTATCAATTTTTTCCTTGGAAGAACAGTGCTGGGTACAGAAGCATGGATGGTGTGGTGGTGTGAATGAGAATGGTCCCCATAGGTTCATGTATTTGAATTCTTGGTCTCTTGATGAAGTGTTTGGGAAGGATTAGGAGGCACAGCCTTCCTGGAGGAAGTGTGTGACTCAGGGTTGGGGAGACTTAAGGTTTCAAAATCCACACCATCCTCGGAGTGCCTTTCTCTGATGTGAGCGCTCGTTGTTGCTCCGGCTGCCTGCTACCAGGTCTTCGTCATAAACTCCAATCCTCTGGAATCATAAGCCCCATTAAAATGTTTCTTTTACAAGTGGCCTTCATCATGGTGTTTTATCAGAACAATAGAAAACTAACTGATATATTGAGGGTCATGAACTGATTTAATTTAGTCCTCTCCAATCCATAGCTGTTTTTCATGAGCTATCCAGCCTCCTCATTCAGAAGTCTTGTCATGGTTATGCTGTACCTCTCCCTACTCTGGAGGGCTCAGTAGGACTGACTCATACTGCTTGACCTGGTTGGGGGCCTAGAGGAAGCAGGACTCCCTAGGTCTAACAGGCTCCAGGCTGATGTGACAGCCATTGCCTCTCCATTAGTCACATCTGGCAATAGAAATGTCTCCAGGACTGGATGATCTCTATCCATAACATGCTTTCTTGTAGGGGAGGACAATACACAGCATACTCTGCAGGATACATGCCACTCAAGGACAAGCTTAAACTTTTCTACGACAGTACCCTGCCCTTTGATCTGGCCTTCACCTCTTCTGTAAACTCTTGTTCAGGCTTTAAGCCTTCCAGAGGCCCCCTAACAGCTAATTTAGCTTCTTTTATTAATTTTTGACCCAGAAACTTCAGCTTGATACAAATCTTACCACATTTGCTTTCAAGTGGTCCCTCTTTCATTCCCTCCTGAGAGCTTTCACATCTAAGAATGTTATTAGTGTAAATCACTGCGGTCCAATGGAACCTCTGTTATCATGGAAAGATGGTGTCCCAGCACCAGCTTGGCCAAGCCACTGAAACCGTGTAACAATGTCAAGATCTCTATTGTGTTAATCCATTTCTTAACTCTCCAGTAGACACAGTCCTGTCCAGATCAGTGAACTAGACATCAGATGCTGCCTCTCTTGTGAGCAAATCCCTCAATAATGCTTGTCCATTTTCCTTCAAGTCCCTAGCTTTAAGGGGGACCCCAGTGGGTGATAACAAGCTATACCTGTCAGTCCATCAGAGATTGATTTTCCTCAAGAAGACACAGTAGTTATATTACTTTTTTCCTCCTTTTCTACAGCACTAACAGTGATCCCATCCACCCGGAGTTCCATGGCTTCACAAGCTGGGTTATTTCTTTCTTGTTTAAAAGTCTTTCCTATTTCAAGCTGTTCAGAGGCAGACTACTTCCTGATGATCACAGTTTCCTGTACTGAACTATTATTAAAGCCCCTGCCTGTGTGCTGAATCTCTTGTCCTTCTTAGTATTAAAGGCAAGATCTGGGGATGTATCTTATCACACCTACTTCATTCTCTCTTTTCTCACTGTCCAGTTCTTCCCGTGAGATCCAAGTGTTTGGATCCTAAGAAGGGATCTTTAGCAGAGATCTAGCTTGAGCTCTCCTTTCCCTGCTTCCTGCCAGTCACAATAAATGCCAAGCCAAGCACCTCCATTCCGTCTTCCCCCTTTCCCCACTGTTCCTGCCAAATCAAAAACTACTGCCAAGGATATCATCTGCACGCCCTTTAAACACTGTAACTCCTCCTTACGCCGCCGGCCGGAACTTTCCAGACAGTTTGGTTTCAGCCGCATGCCTCAGAGTAGGAAGGAGCTGGCCACCTGCTGTCAAAGCCTCCTTGATCCCACCCAAGTCTGGCTCGGTGAATTAACAAGTTTATTGGTGTCCTTGCAAAAGCACAGGTGACCCAAGGGCCATCGCTGGGAAGCCCGCCCCAGTGTGAGCGACAGCTCGTTAAAGCTTCATTCCTGGGGCCCCCGTCCAAACTGTAGCTCCTTATTTAACTTTGGGGGGGAGGGGATGGCTCATCTGTCTTGTAAGTTCCATGAGCTTCTGGTGTCTCCTAGGTTATATGATTTTCCAAGTCTTGTGAGTTTTCCCTCCAGGAGAGAATTTATTTCAATTCAAAAGGACAGCTGCACAATGGTAATAAGAATTTGAACTGGAATGGAAAATTGAAATTTATAAGTAATCTTAGGGTGCCCCTAAAAATACATTTCTTATTAGAGATTTTAACTGTGACCTTGTGCAAAACTGAGTCTTCTATATTGAGGGAGATGTTAATGTTACCTGCCATTGGGCAAAATTGTGTGAGCTATTACTTTTTGTGGTAAGGGGATGGGAAAGAGGAGAGGTAGGGATATTGGTAGTGCCCAAACAGTTGATAAACTCTCCCTGCATTCCATATCACAGACCATGAGTGGCACAGATGTGAGAGGACCCCAAACCATTCAGGTTGTCTTAGAGTTTCTATTTCTGTGATGAAATACCATGGCCAAAAGCATCTTGGGGAGAAAGGGGTTTATTTCATCTTACATCTTATAGTCCATCAACCAGGGAAGTCAGGGCAGAAACTCAAGGCAGGAATCTGAAGGCAGGAACTGATGCATAGGCCATGGAGGAAATATGTTTACTGGCTTCCTCCCTGTGGGTTGCTCAGCCTGCTTTCTTATACACCCCAGGACCACCTTCCCAAGGGTGGCACCACCCACAATGAGTTGGGCCCTCCTACATAAATCATCAATTAAGAAAATGCCATATAGACTTAACTTCCAGGCCAATCCAATGGAAGCATTTTCTCAATTAGGGAACCTTCTTTCTAGGTGACCCTACCTTGTGGCAAGTTGACATTTAAAAAAAAAGCCAGCATAGAGAAATAGAAAGCTGTAGCAACATGGAGCTATTCATCCTAAAGTAAAGCAGGCAGCTGGCATTTTGCAGAGCAATTGGCAAGAACATTTTTAAAGCTTAGAAAAACCAGAACAGTTCTTGGGCCCCAGTAACTAGGGATCTACCCTGGTCCTTTAGTCAGTAAAGAAGGGATGTTGCTGGAGGGCTTTGCCAGCCCGGCTAGCTCAGTCGGTAGAGCATGAGACTCTTAATCTCAGGGTCGTGGGTTCGAGCCCCACATTGGGTACCATTTGTTGCTGGAGGGCTTTTTTCCAGGTTCCACCAAGCCCCACAGTCCCACAATCCATGTATAAAATAATCACTCAGATGCTTATATTACTTATAAACTGTATGGCCATGACAGGCTTCTTGCTAACTGTTCTTATATCTTAAATTAACCCATTTCTATAAATTTATAACTTGCCACGTGGCTGGTGGCTTACTGGCGTCTTTACATATTGCTTATCCTGGCAGTGGCTACAGTGTCTCTCTCTCCAATAAGGGAGATGGATTGTAGATCCATGATGAATACGTTAAACACAAATTCCCTCTACTATATGCCAAGATGTGTGATAAAATGTTTAAGTCCAACTGTGTACTATTCCTTTACACTGTGTGAATATATGTCACTGTGATTAGTTTAATAAAGGAGCTGACTGGCCAATAGCTGAACAAGATAAAGTTAGGCAGGAAAGCCAAACTGAGAATGATGGGAAGAAGGGTGGAGTCAGAGGGGTTGTCAGCAGATTCAGGAAGAAGCAAGATGGGCATGCCATACTGGGAAAAGGGACCAATCATGTGCCAAAGCATAGATAAGAAATATGGGTTAATTTAAGTGTAAGAGTTAGCTAGTAACAAGCCTCAGTTATTGGCCGAGCATTTGTGATTA